GACTGGTGTATTTAAATTATATATAAAGGGCGACTTTATATATATTTATATATAAAGGGCGACTTTATATATATTTATATATAAAGGGCGACTGGTGTATTTAGGGAACCTAGTCGCCAAATCCTGGGTCTGCAGAATCATCATCCACCACTCTTTTAGTTCGGGCGCAACTGTAGAGACATTAAGTATTTTTTGAAAGCAGGAGACTTGAAAAATGAGCAACGCCTTCGTCAGGAATCGAACCACAGACTTCTGGAATACGCGCCCAGCGTGCTCACCACTACACTACGAAGGCATGCTAAGAAGGCGGGAGAAATACCTTATAAGTTGTCTATAATTTGCTGTGAATAATTACAAACTCTGAGATACATAAGATTTATATGGATAACATTTTTACTTCCAATGAATTATGATGCGTTCTTGGAAATAAAAACCTATTCGCTGCAGGTACTGTTAGAGAACACATAATGTCTAAATGCCCACTTATACCGTCTAAAACAATGTCAAAAATGGAACGGTGCGCATATAAGCATTCTGTACTGCGCCACCCACATACGGGACATCATTTCCTTTACGCTTAGGAACGCCTTAACTTTGCTCAAGCTCAAGGTACACCTCTATACTATTTGTTTACATTTTGATAACAGCACCGAAAAGAATATTACGTGCGTTGTTTTTCTGTTGCAATGAGATTACACTTCTTGCAACACTGTAGTGAGGTGAATTTAATATAAAGAAAGGTAGTGATTTTTTTTTCCTAGAGAGAAAAAGTATAATTTTTCTTGTGCTAACTCCGTTAATGTGTACAGATATTTTTAAGAAATGTATTCTTAATTTAAAACGGTTCATATTAATGGTGTTGTGATTATTAATCCATTATTTCATGCTCATTATATATCCACTCTCTGCTGATGCAATCTGCAAAAGTATGAGACAAGTCAGTTTTCGGAAATAGCAAAAACGACGTTGCGAGCTAACATAGTATACAGTAAATTCACAATATTTATAATCAGTTTGGAAAAGTAAAATTTATTTTTGAAGTTTGACTAATATAGATTTTTAACAGAAAAATAGCGTATTTTAAATTGAACAATATTACTTTATGGACATTAACATGGACATTAAGATGGTAGTAGCATAATACTATTTGCGAAGGAAATATTTTCTGCAGTGTGAAAGAAACAATTTGCAACAAAATTGCAATAATAATAATATACTTATTAGCACAAAATACCGTTACAGTTGGATCGAGATCGTTGTGTTTTGGTTTTTGTACTAAATTCATGAACTCAGCTATTTATATAATCCAAGCGCTTAAGATTGCTTCTGATATTAACAGCATCTTAGAAAGATTTTATAATTTTATTATTCCATAAAACAGGAAGCTATTTGCAGAACGCAGCAGCTAAACGTTTTCGTTTCAAGGAAAACAAACGATAATTTTCATGCTTCCGTGTCACTCATGCGCGCCATTCAACGAAAACAAAACCGTAAGAATCCCGCCTATACGTCATTACGCCAAAGTAAAATGATGTCATCTGAAAGTATGTCCAATCACAAGTACTGACTTTTCCCAATGCGCGTGGTGCGGTACAGAATGCTTATATGCGAACGGGGCGCGCGCATCAGATAGCAGCTTTGATTAAAAAAAATAAAGTTGCAGCAGTTCGATGGAATGACGGTCGTGTCATTTCAATAATGTCCAACTTCGAAGAAACAAAAAATGTATCAGCCATAGGAAGGAGAGTTAAAAGTGGCAGAAAACAGGTAAAGATACCAATGTGAATTTCATCCTACAATAAAATATGAAAACGGAGTTGTTCTATTTGATAATCATGCAGCAGCTTATATTACTTCCATTCAAGGAAAGAAAGGGTATTGTCCTTCATTAGCTAAGTCGTTTGAAATAAGATTTGTTGCTTCATGGAAGTTCAATCAGTTATTTAGTGACGATAGTCTGAGCCTGCTTAATTTTCGAAGACATATAATTTTGGACTATTCCAAGAAAACCATCTTGCAGAAAACTGGATGTTCAACAAGTTAATGAAGATTTTCTAAAGCTTCAAAATGAACATATTACCGTAAAAATACCATAAAATAGACAAAGAAGATGCCAGCTAAAACTTTCACAGCCAAACCAAGAACTATCGGTAAAAAATGTAACGTACGACTATGCTTAAGACGCTTCCTGCCATTCCACCTAAGTAAAAATCATTAGCAGTGGATTGCACCGTTGTCCTATTTTTAGGTCAGGCTGTATTGATCAAACTAATAAAAATTTGGTAAGTTTTTTTTTAGTCCAAAGGGGCTTTGTCCCTGAAGGACTATTGTTTTCGTTTTGCGATTTTGCGTCGGACTCATAAACGTCGGTTCACTTTTCAAACTGTTGCCACAAAATGTTAGAGTCCTGCATTATATTTGAAGAAATTAAATAATGAAAAATCTGCATAAATGATTGTCTATTTCTCGCATTGTGATAAAACAATGGTACATAAAGCCATCGAATTTTGAATGACGAAATCCTACTGCGAATATGGGCATCTGAAATCCCAAATTTGGAAATTTGTTTTATTATAGATTTTATATTTTGTAAAACTTTAACGAATTTTTTGATTTACAAACTCAATGCTTTAAAAGCGAGAAATGGCAACGTTATATAGAAAAAAAATACTTTTATCTCCAGCTCGCGAGACTGTGTATATCGGAAATTCTAAATATATGCTTAATTTAACATTATTTTGCGATATTGCTCTTGAACTGAATTTTATGGTTTAAGTGCAAAGAACATGATATTTAATAAATAAAGGTAACACTCAAAACGTTAAAAAAACGCCCCTTTGGACGTAATTTAAAATCTGAAACATTTAAGTTTTTTTTTTTTTTTTTTTTTTTTTGATTTTATATGTAGACATAGACTTAAAGAAACACATATTTAAGAATTTATAAAAACGTATTAATTTATTCAATACTTGGTATGATATGGGTTAAGGAATCCAATCGTTAAATCCTGGTGGTGATGACTGGTTGTCCATCACCTTTTAGTTCGGGCGCCGCTGTAGAATCATCTTAGAACCTTTCGATGAAAGAAAATAGAGAAAATCTGTTGTAACGTCTGAACTAAAACATGGTATACAATAACTCGTCACCACCAGGATTTGGAGATTGAGTCCCCTAATTTCCGGTCGTTTTTTTGAAAAGGGGGAATATATGACATATTTTCACCCTCCGTCCAGCATGGCTTCGTTGTGTAATGGTAGCATACTAAGAGCGTATTCGAGATGTGCAGGTTCGAGTTCAGCGAGAGCATTGCACATTTTTTACATTTCCACATTCAAATTAACCTTATGTCTCCAGAAAACCACAAACAAAGATTCGTAGAAAGTGAAATTCGCCTATATGAAATACGAATTTATTTGAGAATTGGTATTGAAAATTAACGTACATTTATTAAAAGTATTATAGAATACTGAAAGAGAGTTTATCTAAAGTAAAAATAATTCCAATTAAGATTTAGTTTTCCAGTTTTAGCGATATATTATTTTTGAAGTTAATTAAATCTGGCATAGTGTATTGAATTTTGAACAACATAATTCATAAAATTTTCGAAATTATTTTTTAAATATTACTTTTTTTCATACACAGAGCTGTCGAGTATGAAAGAAAGTTTGAAACTGATAGTGGTGACCATCATATATGGGCTCCTAGTTTCTGAAGTATGGGCACTTCCAGTTGCCGCACCACAAAATGATTTCCCTGGATTCAACTTATTTGAACAAGGCCCATTGGACGGTCTTACCGAAGATTTTGGAACATTTGAAATAAATGACATTGATATTGATGAGTTTGGTATTAGTAGTCTACAGCTAGGAGATGAAAACAGAATAGGAAAGTCAAAATTAGTAAAAACCTCCCAAACGAATGACGACGAACTAACCGATATATTCGACCTTAACCTTTCAGAAAACGACGGAGAATTTAGTGAATTCTTAGAAGACACAAATGTAAACGAAAATGGTGATATTTTTGAATCAGAAGATTTATCATGGATTACAACGAATATTGAAGAAGACCAATCAGAAGAAACATCTGCCAGTATCGAAGTATCCGAATCAGCCAGTGCTGACATTTCTGCATCTGCTTCTGTTGCGTTTTCTGCTACCACTGATATCTCTGCAAGTGCTGATATATCTGCGTCGACAGATCTTTCTACGAACGCAGATTTATCTGCCTCCGAAAGCACTGACATCTCTGCGAGTGCTGATTTTTCAGCTTCATTGAGCGCTGATGTATCTGCCAGTGCAGACATTTCTACATCGGCTAGCGCTGACGACTCAGCCTCTGCTTCCACGTCAGCTAGTGCCTCTGCGTCGTTTAGCACTGATTTCTCCACATCGGCTAGCGCTGACATCTCAGCTTCAGAATCCGCTAGTGCAGATTTCTCTGCATCCGCGAGCGCTGATATATCAGCCTCTGCTTCAACTAGTGCAGATATCTCTGCTTCCGCCAGTGCTGAATTCTCAACGTCCGCTTCGGCTAGCGCTGACTTGTCAGCCTCAGAATCCACTAGCGCAGATTTCTCTGAATCCGCGAAGGCTGACTTCTCAGCCTCTGCTTCAGCTAGTGCAGATTTCTCTATTTCTGCCAGTGCTGATTTCTCAGCGTCTGCTTCCGCAAGTGCCGATTTCTCAGCGTCTGCTTCGGCTAGCGGTAAAGTGTCAGCCTCAGAATCCGCTAGTGCAGATTTCTCTGCATCAGCCAGCACTGACTTCTCAGCCTCTGCTTCAGCTAGTGCAGATATCTCTGCTTCCGCCAGTGCTGATTTCTCAGCATCTGCTTCTGCTAGTGCTGACTTGTCAGCCTCTGTGTCTATATCAGCAAGTACCTCTGCTTCCTTTAGTGCTGATTTGTCTACTTCGGCTAGCGCTGATATCTCATCCAGTGCATCCGCGTCACTTCATGCCAGTGCTTCTGCCGATATCAGCGCATCCGCCTCACTTGATGCCAGTGCTTCGGCCGATATCAGTGCATCCGCCTCACTTGATGCCAGTGTTTCTGCCGATATCAGTACATCCGCATCCCTTGACGTGAGTGCTTCTGCCGATATCAGCGCATCCGCCTCACTGATGCTAGTGCTTCAGCCGATATCAGTGCATCGGCTCACTTGATGCCAGTGCTTCGGCCGATATCAGTGCAACCGCATCACTTGACGTGAGTGCTTCTGCCGATATCAGTGCATCTGCCTCAGTTGATGCCAGTGCTTCTGCCGATTTCAGTGCATCCGCATCGGCTTCTGCTATATCTCAGTGAGACCTTCTCTCTGCCGAATCAGCGCAGCAGCTTGCCAGTGCCGCCGATATCACTAGTGCCACATGCCTGCCTCTGTTGATGCGTGCTCTGCCGATATCAGTGCATCCGCATCACTTGATGTCAGTGCTTCTGCCGATATCAGCGCATCCGCATCCCTTGACGTGAGTGTTCACATATCAGGCATCCTCAGTTGAGCCAGGGCTTGCCGAATCAGTGCATCCGCGTCGCGATTGATGTAGTGCTTCTGCCGATATAAGTGCATCCGATATGTCAGTGCTTCTACCGATGCGCTTCCACTTCTGCCGATGCTGCAGTGCTTGCATCTGGCGATATTCAGTGCCGCGTCAGTCAGCCTCACTGGATGTCAGTGCTTCTGCAGATATCAGTGCATCCGCCTCACTTGATACTAGTGCATCTGCCGATATCAGTGCATCTGCATCACTTGATGTCAGTGCTTCTGCCGATATCAGCGCATCCGCATCACTTGATGCCAGTGCTTCTGCCGATATAAGTGCATCCGCCTCACTTGATGCTAGTGCTTCTGCCGATATCAGTGCATCCGCATCGCTTGATGTCAGTGCTTCTGCCGATATCAGCGCATCCGCATCACTTGATGCCAGTGCTTCTGCCGATATCCAGTGCATCTGCCTCTATTGATGCCAGTGCTTCTGCCGATATCAGTGCATCCGCATCACTTGATGTCAGTGCTTCTGCGATATCAGCATCGCCATCTTGAAGTGAGCGTTCTGCGAATCGTGCATCCGCGTCAGTTGATGCCAGTGCTTCTGCCGATATCAGTGCATCCGCGTCGCTTGATGTTAGTGCTTCTGCCGATAGCATCGCATCGAATCTAGGTGAGCCGTGCTTGATGCCGATATGAGTACATCTCCCTCAGTGATGCCAGTGCTTCTGCCGATATCAGTGCATCCGCCTCACTTGATGTTAGTGCTTCTGCCGATTCAGTGCATAGCGTCAATTGAGCAGTGCTTCTGCGATATCAGTGCATCCGCATCGTGGGGTTGACTTCTGCGAATCAGTGCATCCGCATTGATGCAGTGCTGCCGCGATTTAGGCATCCGCATCTGATGTCAGTGTTCTGCCGATATAGTTGATAGCCTCAATTGATGCTAGTGCTTCTGCCGATATCAGTGCATCCGCATCGCTGGATGTCAGCGCTTCTGCCGATATCAGTGCGTCCGCCTCACTTGATGCAGTGCTTCTGCCGATATCAGTGACTCCGCGCGTCCTTGATGTTAGTGCTTCCCCGAGCCGATATCCAGTATCCGCCTCACTTGATGCTAGGCTTTGCCGAATCAGTGCATCGCTCCTTGATGAGTGCTTCTGCCGATATCAGTGCATCTGCTCAGTGAGCCACTGCTCTGCGATATCATGCATCGCATCCTTGACGTGAGTGTTCTGCGATATCAGTGCATCTGCTCATTTGATGCAGTGCTTTCCGATATCAGTGCATCCGAACGCTTGAGTTGTCAGTGCTTCTGCCGATATTCCGTGAACCGTCTCATTGATGCTAGGATTCTAGCGATATCAGTGCATCGATCGTTGATGCCAGTGCTTCGCGTAGTGCATCCTGCATCGCCTGATGCAAGTGCTTCTGCGATATCAGGCGCTATCCGATCGCTTGGGAGTGCTTCTGCCGATATAGTGCACCGCATCCCTGATTGTCAGTGCTTTCCGATATTAGCGCACCGCTCACTGATGCCAGGCTTCTGCCGATATCAGTGCATCCGCCCCTCAAATGGATGATAGTGAAGCCGAATCGGATATCAGTGCATCGCGACTTGATGCCAGTGCTTATGCCGATACCGTGATCCGCATCTTGCGTCGAGTGCTTCTGCCGATATCAGTGACCGCCTCACTGATGCAGGCTTCTGCCGATAGCAGGGCACGCCTCACTGATTGAGTGATTGCCGTATCAGTGCATCCGTCCTGACGGAGTGCTTTTGCCGATATCAGGCATCTGCTATGATGCCAGTGCTTCTGCCGATATCAGTGCATCCGCCATTGACGCGTATCAGATGTTGATGCAGTGATTCAGTGCCGCCTCATATGCCAGTGCATATCAGTGCATCCGCATCTGACGTGAGTGCTTCTGCCGATATCAGTGCATCCGCGTCACTTGATGCCAGTGCTTCTGCCGATATCAGTGCATCTGCCTCATTTGATGCCAGTGCTTCTGCCGATATCACTGCATCCGCCACTTGATGCCAGTGCATCTGCCGATATCAGTGCTTCCGCATCCCTTGACGTGAGTGCTTCTGCCGATATCAGTGCATCTGCGTCACTTGATGCCAGTGCTTCTGCCGATATCAGTGCATCCGCCTCACTTGATGCCAGTGCTTCTGCCGATATCAGTGCATCCGCATCCCTTGACGTGAGTGCTTCTGCCGATATCAGTGCATCTGCCTCAGTTGATGCCAGTGCTTCTGCAGATATCAGTGCATCCGCGTCACTTGATGCCAGTGCTTCTGCCGATATCAGTGATCCGCTCATGTGCATGCTTCTGCGAATCGGCATCCGCATCCCTTGACGTGAGTGCTTCTGCCGATATCAGTGCATCTGCCTCAGTTGATGCCAGTGCTTCTGCCGATATCAGTGCGTCCGCATCGGTTGATCAGCGCATCAGATGCCAGGCTGCCGATATAGTGCATCTGCCTCAGTTGATGCCCGTGCATTCAGTTTGCCGTGCTTCTGCCGAGTTGATGCAGTGCTGCGATCCATCCGCATCGCTTGATGCCAGTGCTTCTGCCGATATCAGTGCATCCGCATCTCTTGATGCCAGTGCTTCTGCCGATATCAGTGCATCCGCATCGCTTGATCAGTGCTTCTGCCGATATCAGTGCATCCGCATCGCTTGACGTGAGTGCTTCTGGCGATATCAGTGCATCTGCCTCAGTTGATGCCAGTGCTACTGCCGATATCAGTGCATCGCATCTGATCCTTCTGCCGAATCACTTGATGCCAGTGCTTCTGCCGATATCAGTGCATCCGCCTCACTTGATGCCAGTGCTTCTGCAGATATCAGCGCATCCGCATCACTTGATGCCAGTGCTTCTGCCGATATCAGTGCATCCGCATCAGTTGGTATCAGTGCCAGCGCCTCCGCATCAGTTGATATCAGTGCTTCTGCCGATGTCAGCGCCTCTGCATCTGCAGATGTGAGTGCTTCTGCTGATGTCAGCGCATCTGCATCCGTTGGTGTCAGTGCTTCTGCCGATGTCAGCGCCTCAGCATCAGTTGATGTCAGTGCTTCTGCCGATGTCAGCGCATCTGCATCTATTGATGTCAGCGCTTCTGCCGATGTCAGCGCTTCCGCATCTGCCGATGTCAGTGCCTCCGCATCAGTTGATGTCAGTGCTTCTGCCGATGTCAGCGCCTCCGCATCCGTTGATGTCAGTGCATCCGCCGATGTCAGCGCCTCCGCATCAGTTGATGTCAGTGCTTCTGCCGATGTCAGCGCATCTGCTCCGTTGATGTCAGTTCTGCTTTCAGCGCCTCCGCATGTCAGAGCCTCCGCATCAGTTGATGTCAGTGTTCTGCCGATGTCAGCGCATCCATCCTGATGTCAGTGCTTCTGCCCGATGTCGGTGCTTTGCGGATGTCAGCGCCTGGTCCGTTGCTGTCAGGCTTTGCGAGTCAGGCTCTGGTCTGTTGAGCCAGTGCTTCTGCGATGTCAGCGCATCATCTATTGATGTCAGCGCTTCTGCCGATGTCAGTGCTTCTGGATGTCAGAGCCTCCGCATCGTTGATGTCAGTGCATCCCCGATTGTCAGCGCCTCCGCATAGTTCTGTCAGTGCTTTGCCGATGTAGAGCCTTCCGTTGATCAGTTATGCGCGTCGCATCGCATCGATGTCAGCGCTTCCGCCGTGTCTGCGCATGATGTCAGTGCTTCGCCGATGTAGTTGATGTCAGCGGCATCTGCCGATGTAAGTGCTTCTGCGGATGTCAGCGCATCTGCATCGTTGATGTCAGTGCTTATGCCGATGTCAGTGCTCTGATGTCAAGTGCTTCTGCATCTTGGCATCCGTGATGTCAGTGATTCTGCCGATGTCACGCGCATTCAGTTGAAGTCAGTGCTTCTGCCGATGTCAGCGCATCTGCATCGTTGATGTCAGTGCTTGCCGATGTCAGCGCATATCGATGTCCGTTGATGCAGTGCATCTGCATTTCGCGCTCTGCATCGTGGATGTGAGCGCTTGCCGATGTCAGCGCTTCGCATCTGTTGATGCAGTGCCACGATCATTGATGTCAGTGCTTCTGCCGAGATGTGTCAGCGCATCTGCATCCGTTGATGTCAGTGCTTCTGTGCTTCTGCGGATGTCAGCGCATCTGTCCGTTGATGTCAGTGCTTCCTGCCGATGTCAGCGCATCTGCATCTTGATGTCAGTGCTTCTCCGTTCAGCGCATCTGCTCGTTGATCGTGCTTCTGCGATGTCAGCGCTTCCGCATCTGCCGATGTAGGGCCTCCGCATCAGTTGATGTCAGTGCTTCTGCCGATGTCAGCGCATCGCGCAGCGATATCAGCGCATCGTCTGATGTCAGCGCTTCCGCATCTGCCGATGTCAGTGCCTCCGCATCAGTGATGTCAGTCTGCTTCGCCGATGTCAGTGCGCATTCATGGTGGATGTCAGTGCTTCCGATGTCAGTGTCAGTGCTTCTGCGGATGTCAGCGCATCTGCATCCGTTGATGTCAGTGCTTCTGCCGATGTCAGCGGCATCGCAATCAGTTGATGTCAGTGCTTCTGCCGATGTTAGCGCATCTGCATCCGTTGATGTCAGTGCTTCTGCCGATGTCAGCGCATCTGCATCCGTTGATGTCAGTGCTTCTGCGGATGTCAGCGCATCTGCATCTGTTGATGTGAGCGCTTCTGCCGATGTCAGCGCTTCCGCATCTGTTGATGTCAGTGCCACCGCATCATTTGATGTCAGTGCTTCTGCCGATGTCAGCGCATCTGCATCCGTTGATGTCAGTGCTTCTGCCGATGTCAGTGCTTCTGCGGATGTCAGCGCATCTGCATCCGTTGATGTCAGTGCTTCTGCCGATGTCAGCGCATCTGCATCTGTTGAAGTCAGTGCTTCTGCCGATATCAGCGCATCTGCTTCCGTTGATGTCAGCGCTTCTGCCGATGTCAGCGCTCCGCATCTGCCGATGTCAGTGCCTCCGCATCAGTTGATGTCAGTGCTTCTGCCGATGTCAGCGCATCTGCATCCGTTGATGTCAGTGCTTCTGCCGATGTCAGCGCATCGGCATCTGTTGATGTCAGCGCTTCCGCATCTGCCGATGTCTCATGTCAGCGCATCCGCATCAGTGCTTCTGCCGATCAGTGTCCGCTTCTGCATCCGTCATGTGCATGTCTGCATGTTGATGTCAGCGCCGCATCTGTCATGCAGTCTTCTGCCGATGTTAGCGCATCTGCATCCGTTGATGTCAGTGCTTCTGCCGATATCACCGCATCTGCATCCGTTGATGTCAGTGCTTCTGCCGATGTCAGCGCATCTGCATCTGTTGATGTGAGCGCTTCTGCCGATGTCAGCGCTTCCGCATCTGGCCGATGTCAGTGCCACCGCATCATTTGATGTCAGTGCTTGCCGATGTCAGCGCATCTGCCATGTCCGTTGATGTCAGTGCTCTGTTGATGCGTCAGTGCTTCTGCCGGCAGTCAGCGCATCTCAGTGTGTCAGTCTTTGCCGATGTCAGTTCGCATCTGCATGTGTTGAGTCAGTTGAGTGCTTCTGCCGATGTCAGCGCATCTGCATCCGTTGATGTCAGTGCTTCTGCCGATGTCAGTGCTTCCGCTGCGATGTCAGCGCATCTGCATCCGTTGATGTCAGTGCTTCCGCCGATGTCAGCGCATCTGCATCTGTTGAAGTCAGTGCTTCTGCCGATGTCAGCGCATCTGCATCCGTTGATTTCAGTGCTTCTGCCGATGTCAGCGCCTCCGCATCAGTTGATGTCAGCGCCTCTGCGTCAGCTGATGTCAGCGCCTCCGCATCAGTAGATGTTAGTGCTTCTGCCGATGTCAGCGCATCCGCATCACTGGATGTCAGTGCTTCTGCCGATGCCAGCGCATCCGCAAAAGTAGATATCAGTGCTTCTGCCGATGTTAGTGCCTCCGCATCCGTTGATGTTAGTGCTTCTGCCGATGTCAGCGCATCCGCATCAGTTGACGTTAGTGCATCGGCTGATGTCAGCGCGTCCGCTTCAGTTGATGTCAGCGCGTCTGCGTCAGTTGATGTCAGCGCCTCCGCATCAGTCGATGTTAGTGCTTCTGCCGATGTCAGCGCTTCGGCATCGGCTGACGTCAGTGCTTCTGCTGATGTCAGCGCCTCCGCATCAGTTGATGTCAGCGCCTCCGCATCAGTCGATGTTAGTGCTTCTGCCGATGTCAGCGCTTCGGCATCGGCTGACGTCAGTGCTTCTGCCGATGTCAGCGCCTCCGCATCAGTTGACGTCAGCGCTTCTGCCGATGTCAGCGCCTCCGCATCAGTTGATGTCAGTGCTTCCGCAGATGTCAGCGCTTCTGCCGATGTCAGTGCTTCCGCATCAGTTGATGTTAGCGCTTCTGCCGATATCAGTGCTTCTGCAGATGTCAGCGCGTCCGCATCAGTTGATGTCAGCGGTTCTGCCGATGTCAGTGCTTCCGCATCAGTTGATGTTAGCGCTTCTGCCGATGTCAGTGCTTCCGCTGATGTCAGCGCTTCAGCCGATGTCAGTGCTTCTGCAGATGTCAGCGCGTCCGCATCAGTTGATGTCAGCGCTTCTGCCGATGTCAGTGCTTCCGCAGATGTCAGCGCTTCTGCCGAAGTCGGTGCTTCTGCAGATGTCAGCGCTTCTGCCGATGTCAGCGCAGCCGCGTCTTTTGATGTTAAGGCATCTGCGGAGGTAGCCTTCGGTTTCGATTTAGATGCCAGTATTGGAGCAGGTGTCGAGCTTAAAAGGCGCCGAAGAAGTGCGTTCGGTAAGTATATTTTTAATTTTTTTTTTAATTTTTTGTTAAGGACAATGAATTTGTGTTGATTTTATAAATATTAGATTATAGTGTCTATTTCAAAGGTCATATATCGCTTTTTCGTAATTCTAGAGACTGAGACTTGTCTCAATGTAATATCAAGCAATCTGAAGTTTTGGAGCGATCTAATGTGTTTTTATTTATCCATTTTCCTTTTTAGTTTACGTTTGTATGCACAAGATAGAATAGTTATATGTATTTCCAGAAAGCATACAAAGCTTGTTTATTGGCTTTTATAGATTTAATACAGACTTTAATACATACTTAGAATAATTTACGTGATCAATTTTAAAACATAGCAAAAGTCGAAAGACACACAGATCTGTTATAGAATCCGATCATATTTAATAGCAGGTTGTGTTGTCTCTTTCTTTGATACAAAATGAGACTCCCTCTGTATTCAGACAATAGGTTCGCAAAGTGTTTCACGTTTCATGGGGCGACAAATGATAGGCAGTAAGGGTAAACAGTAGAAGCTTCTTCAGTTAATATAGACAGTCCTAAGCCCTGCAAGTCTTGTGCGAACAGCGCGTATCTGTATGTGATTCCAACTAAAAACGAGATAACTGAGAATTATAAAATATTATTTTTGTAGCACTATTCGTTTAACGTTCTACATAATACTATTAAAGTTGTTATGCCATATAACATAATGGTTTCTCAAATGATAAAGTGTAGTCTCAAGTAAATGTACCGCTGAGTAATGACGTTGAAATTATGGCGATGATTAAGGGAACATGATGATCTTTTGTCCGGAAATGAAGAAGCATTAATGACAAAAGAAGTGTATTTATAGACTGTCGCGAATTCTTTGAATGTTTTCATGAATATGAAGGAATTTTTTAAGATTTCTAGATCGTCATATTTTTCCTGATATTCTTCAAGTCGTATTACAGCATTTAGATTATTTTTGGATTTTATCACATTTTTATGCTAATTTCTGTTTGGAGGATATTTCTAAATAATATTATAACTAAATACAAAGGAGAACTTTGAGTTTTAAATTGCTCTAACTTTTACTTGATTTTTGAAATATGAGAAATGTTTATGTAAAACCCCAAAGTAACATAAATTCACCCTTCTCTTTCCAGTTAATGCCCACAAAAAATATTTATCAATCCTTGTTTTCTAAGAACCTGCTACTTTGTGAGGAAAATACCCGTATGTACAATATAATGTATAAAATCCCTGCCGAATTAAAAGGCAATTCTATAAGAAATAATTGTTTGAATATATTTCTAAAGATTGTTTTTCATATGTAAATTTCAATTAAAAATATGTAAAATAATTTTTTATTTAGCTATATATTAATACTGATTTACATTAATGCTTTATTTCTGGTAGACGACATCTGTCTAAAATATTAATATAGCTCTTTAACCTCAAAAATGTTAGGTAAATCTTAGGCGGTAAATGTTTTGCGCTATTTCGCCATGTACAACGCAATGAAATTGCGAATTTTTCTTTCTCTATCGACTCTAAAATTATTACCCTGCTCATCGTTAAATATTTTGCATCTCCAGTCTATGGCATGCCGTGTTTTTTAAGCTGGAACCATTGCAATAGACCTGTTGATATTCTGGCGTTAAAAGCAGAATGGTGAAGGACGATACGATAGGCGGCAGATCTTCAATCGAGCCTAAAATTTGTTTCGCTGGCACACAGAAGACACTGATTATTTTACAGTGGAACTGAATTAGCGTGGGATCCGTATTTCCTGGCGCATGATCATATTTTTTCTACGGTTTTCATTTTCTTCCTGTTATCATGCTTAGCACGTGAGTGTTGCTACTTGACCATTGCTCACAACAGCATTAAATGGTATAGTTAGAATAATCCATGACACAGGATATGGATATCTGTCACACTGCAATTTTAACCTCCATGATGTCTCTAGGTTTAGAGATGAGTTATTTGGACTATGAGAAAAAATACGAGAATAGTCTCTGGACGTCTATAACGTTATTGACATCTTCGGCATCTTCCTATGGATACTTTTACGCAGTATTCTTGCCTGCGTTAGCTGGTGCTTTTTTTTGTTTTTTTTGTTTATGTGGCATCGAATACACGCTGGATTTTTAAAGTTCTTTCTTTGCGTTTGCAGTGGCACTACAGGATGTGCGGTTATGCAAAGTGGCACGAAACTTAGATCATACGTCCATGCTCTGGGGATTAACATACTTCCGTAACATACTTTGTTGTTTCTTCTAAGCAAATTTTATTGTCCTCGTTTTATCACAGTCGGCAATAATTATACTGCACTAATCCCTTGCTGTCCGCAATTAAAAGAAATAGGGAAATTCGTTTAAAAGGTAATGCGCAGTTTTTTTGCAGTTCTAGCATGTTTGCTGCTTATTCTCGCATTTTCGATAGCTCCAGTATATTTTTGTTCAGTGTCTGATTTTAAGTGTTCATTCTTCTCTTCCTTTAAGTACACATAACTAGCACTGTACAGGGCATGGGTACATAGAAAATTTGTACTTTCCCAGGAATGGTTTGGTTAAATTGCTTTATTTCGTAGAGATGCGTCTATATCCATATCTGAAGAAATAATAAAGGACGATCGAAATTTTTCATAGCATTTCGTTCCTGCTATAGTATGAATCGAACGCTCTTGCCATACTTCAAAGTATGGATCTTCTTGTAATCAGACAGTAGGCGCACTGTTTTAGTTTGGGCTCATTAGGTTGCTCGAATATAGGAAAAAGCACGCAAGAGATAACAGCAAGGCGACATCGCTGTGGCATTACAAACGTGTCACACTGTGACGATCTCCATTTCACAGTCACGTTGTAGATATGACTTAATGTCCGCTTTTTGCGACATCACATTGTGTCGTATATGTTACGTCACAGTGTGGCGTTTATGTGACTTCACATAGGAGTGTTTCTGTGAAGTTAAATTGTGACATTGTTGTGAAGTCACACTGTGACGTAAATGCGTAATCACGCAGCGACATTGTCGTGAAGTTAGACTGTGACATTGTTGGGAAGACACACTGCGATATTCATATAACGCCAAATTGTGTATTAAGACCACAGAGTGACATGAATGTAACGTAATGAAGTGCTGTGAATGTAATGTCTCTAAAGCTGCAAATGGATGTCATGCAACACAGGATTAATTTCTAAATGATTAGAGTGATATCTTAGTACTCCTACTTTAGAGAACGGATAACTATACTCCTAATTTAGAAATCAGATAACTACAAGAATGTTTAGTAATCCAGTAACAAATTATTCTCTTCAAGGTATTAGAATATTTCCGTAATATTCAAAATTTTTAAATTATTGAAAATATTCAATATGATAATTTGAAATTTTCTCATCGTACTTAGCTTTTAATACTATTTTCTCTTCTCCTCTTTCTTGTAATTGCCTTGCTTCCAAAAAAGAGATAAATTATAAGATTATTTGGATGAAAGAGAAACCTTTTTAGTACTATATTTATATCACATTTACCTATTTGAATATTTTGTTGTATAACGAAATGTTTCGTTTTGAGTTAAAAGCTTTTGTAAATCAACACAATCTTAGTTTCCAAATTAGTTAGCTACAACCTTAGTTTTCAAATTACCAATTTGTTATTTAATCTGTAACACTGAACGAATAGTTATGAGTACACAAATCAGTGAATCGAAAATGTAGTTCTGGAAACTAAATTGCAGAAAATATATATTTATATTTAGTTATATTACTTATAAAAACGTGCCTTCTCTTCCTCCATTATTTGATCATTGACAAACTACAACTTTATAGATTTTTAAGCTATTAATTTAAAATATCTTTCTTACACTGCACAGAGCGGCCCACCAGCATCCGAGCGGTAAAGACGCTGAATACTGGTAGTTCGGTCCGAGGTTCGAATTCCGCAAACGAACTGGCTGCAGGGGTGCTTTCATGGTTTTCCCATATGTAACGTGTGCAGGAGCCAGTTTCCCTTAAACGAAAGCCCTTAGACAGATAGCCCTCGAGTCTTTGCCATAATCACATAAACAAATCCAAATATACACTGCGGAGCTTCAAAGTATTTAAATCTTTATATTAAGTAAAAATGTCGTATAATTTGTTTCATTAGCTGATTGATGTGAATCACTTATTTTAAATACTTCTGAATTTCCTGAACACGTTTTTCTGTTCCCTTAGTAATTAAAGTTTAAATTTAATACAGTTTTACATAGTTTATTATGCAAAAGCATAACAAATTTTGTGAACTAATAATTCCAGTTCAAAAGGACAATTATTGTTACCAAAGATGTATTATGGAAAATCTGTATTACTCGCTTCTGAGAATATACCTTGTATTGTAACCTTCATAGCAATGCTTGAATAGTATCAGTAGCTCATACGGTAGAATGATCGAAACTCAGCTATTTATGTAATAAACTTCGTAAGTTGCATTATTTAATCAACACATACGGGAGTAAACACTTAACTGTACACCGACTTGAAGCGAAATTTAAAAATTATTGTTAAGAATGAAGCGATTAGCGTCAAGAAAAATACCAGAGATGCAATGAACTTTATAGAAGGGCGATAAAAATCAATAACGATTCTTTGCTATCCACAGATTTCTGCAAAAATAGAATGAAATCAGAGCCATGTTTTAACTCGGGCATTTGTAATTATTTTAATATGATTTCACAGAGCAAACATGAGGATTTATGTTTAGAGGTAAAGATGAGGTAACATGAGATACACGCATTCCTACTATTCTTATCGTTTAACGTAAATATAAGAACAGAATGGAGTTCCACTTGCCCGAAATACGATATCCAAAGTTATAGTAACGTGGACTATTCACTACTTCTACGCTATCCAAAATTAATTCCGTTTTTACACGATTTCAATTTTTTTATTTGATTTAAATAATATAAAGATATTATATTTTAGAATGCATACTTTTAAAAAGTTGTTAATTTCATCTAAATGAATCAGTACAGCACAGAGCTGTACCGTTTTTGTACCACTTGCCAGTAATAGGGCGCAAATACTGAATAAATAAGGATTTGGAAAGTAATTGAAAATATTTAACAGAAGCAGTACTGAGATTAGTTTCAGATATTAAAATCTGATGGCAAGGCTTTGACGGTGTTCTTTTTAAGTACTTCTTGTTTCTTTAAACTGGACTTTCTTTAGTATTTTCATTTGATTTTCTTATTAAAGTCAGAAGCGATTTCAAACTGTAAAGTATCAAAAAGCCATCAATACATATTTTAGTATTGATTTTATTGTTTTATTTCTAGACAGGAATTAAAGAAACATTTCCTTTGTATACTTTTAATTGAAGAGAAATAAATTATATAATTTCTTTGATGTGAAAAAAAAAATCATTTATCATTAAATTTATACTTGTTAGCACTGACTTTTCAAACTCGCAAACTCTGAGTTATATACTATAAACAGCAATTTTCCGCTTCATACTCATATATTTCAAAACATATGAAAACGCCTTCTGGAAAATTTCCATATGTTTTTGTGGTCTTACTTAAGATTAAATTTTATTATCTCTATTTCTAATAGACATAAATCTCCCTTACTAAAGTTATATGAACTATTTCAAAATATTTTAGACATCTAAAAGGTTTTAAACCTATTCATTTTGATATAGAAATATTGAGTGTTACTTCTAGTCAATATAAAGAGTTTATAAATTACAGAAATGCTTACAGTATAGTAACTTGTTTTACTCACTACTGTATTGGTTCATATCACATTTGTGAATATGCTAAGTCCAATCAACAAGAAACTATCGTCTCATTTTTGAACAGTGTCTGCTTAAACATGGATCGAAATAATGGTGATTACATCGAAATAATGGTTTACTGCTTAATTTTATTTTTTCTTCCAATGTTTTAATTTAAGAAAGTCAACTTATAGCTTTAACTATAATCAGTTGGGAAAATACGCAGGGAACCAATATTAAAATTAATAGAGGAAGAAATTAACGATTTACCTAAATTATTAAGCAATTTCATATGTATAACAAGTTCATTTACATGTTATGAAAATTAAATCGGCATTTAAAACAAGAAGACATTTCTGAACAAAAAGAATGATGTTTCTGTTCAGATTACTCGTCAGGAGTGTATCGACATGAGTCAGTGGGAAACAGATATATAATGCTGTACAATTAATTTAATTTTTATCATTGAACTAATTATTTCCAACGGATTGATTTAACAACATTTGTATAGTACAGATTATGTATAATTACATTTCGTATGGTAGTCAGAGCCGGGATAAGGAGGATGGTAGATTAGCTATTAAAGTTTGGAAATACCTTTTAGGGAAAAAAATGGGAACTTTCAATTATGTGCAGCATCGAAAAGCAACTGTTTAAAATATCGTACTTAATAACAATATTACGTCTTGACACTGTGTTTCACCTGCTACTAATGTATTACTACTTCGGTTTTACTTCTACGTCAGGAGACTATGCTTCATTCTCAGTGTTCTAAAGTCAACCATTTTACATCCGATAGTTATCCTTTCTATCCAATTATCATTCTCAGTCAGGCTGCCGCATTTCCAATAAAGCACGTTTAACTCACGATAATATCAAAACAAACGGTGTGCTTGTTGCGCATCGGTATCCCTAACAGAATCCATAAAGCATTGGAAACTTTATATATCTTAATTTTACAGATCGTAATCCAGAAATACTCTAGTGTTATTTTTTTAATATCAGTCTCTAGTTCTTGACAGGTTTTTCCCGATTTTGAGGCTGAGTCTTAAGCTGCAGTCAGTAAGAACTTTTCTCAGAAATCGTACTTTTGAATCATTCAGTCGTCAACATATGAATGTTTATCGGCTAGTAGAGTCTGCGAGAATAAAGCAGACTCCCCTCTTAAATAAACAGCAAAATGCAAGGCGAAATGTTAAACGATCAAACAGATTTGTCTGCTAAATTATTTCAAATGTTTTTCTATGACCCCTTCCTGTCATTTTGGCAAAAGAATAAATGCAAGAAGAGATAACTTAAGTGAGATATGTTTCACAGCAGGATGCGAAATTTCCATCATGTAAAAGTGATCGTTTACGTATAAAACGGGTTTTAGGAATTCATTTCTCGAGTCACTTGTTCACTGCAGAAATTTCTGGGTGACGTTGATGATGTATCGATTTACGGTTGGCAGCTTCCCCTTTCACAGAATTCATAATTTTTCGAGTAAGAAAAGCAAAGCTTTGTTTCATTTCAGCCGCATCTCGTTGCGATTCATTTCGCTGTGTTCTTTATTTCGATGCAAAATTGTGGCAATGATTTTCCATAACTGATTTCACCTCCTGTTCGATCTCCATGGTTATCGGCATTCAGAGAGATCCACAATACGGGCACCCCTTGTATGGAACTACGAGCTCATAGATGTCCCATAACCGCACTATATGACCAGGAAGAAATAATTTTGCGTAATGATAACATACAGTAAAATAAATAGCTGTAAATAGCTCAGAAGAAACCTGTGTGGTAGGCAAATTCTTCTTAGCGCAGGAGAAACATAGCAAATTTCTAAAATCACTCACAGAAGGCAAAACGTTAAAGCCGAATCCAGATACCTTTCTTTCAACTGTACAATCTCAGAGCTGATTAACAAATGATTCCTCCTAACTCTTCCATGTGTAACGTGTATACGAGCCAGTTTTCCTTAGAATGTCCTCCACGAAGGCATCCCTCCCTTTAGGCAGATAGCCCTCGTGTGCTTAACCATAATTGAATAATAACCAATCCAATCCCTCCTAACTCTTCGAGGTATATTTATGCGGTATTTAATTGGCTTATGAAAGCTGCGGAAAGAAACACTCTAAAAATATATTTTTCCAAATCTTCCTGAAAAATCGCTATAGCTGCAGAAAATTGTCAAATTTTGCCAACATGTTGACAAGAAACGATGCCAATGCCCATCAAGAATGTTTTCCCACATGTCTCGCATTCTACTTTAGCTGTTTTTAGAACTAAAATTTGTTGTACTCAGAATTGAAAGATCTATAAGTTTTATATGAAAAATAAATACTTATGTACAAAACGTATAACAGCAAATTCAATTAAACTTTATTGTTTTAAAATAGCCCTATTCTATTTATAAAAATATATCACAATTTTTTCAACACTGTATTAGTTTAGATTTCTTTAAAATTCACACCAACGCAGGTAATTATTAAAGCAATCAAAAGGCTTGAAATATTTACAGAAATTTACAACAGGTTTTAAGACAAAAGTACAATACTTCTAAATGTCTGTTTCAGTAAAATTTCCATATCATAACAGAAATTTAGCAACTGGTGGAAACACTTTCGGAAATATAGAAGATATACTGAGTTAGCAATGCACAAATAATAGTATAATAAGAAATGGAAATCTTAATTTACCGTAATAAAAACAGCATATAATGAAAGAATTTTTAGAAACGCAGTACGCAATGTAAATGTAATGTATTGCATTACATTGTGCATTGAGTTTCTAAAAACTCAATGGTAAAGGACAAAAGCTTTTTCTTTGTATCATAAAATAAAGGGTAATAATACAAATCTAGAAAAGTATTTGCCTACGAAATGCTTCAAAAATGCGTACTTAACTTCAGAGTTTTAAGACCGAAAATATTCACGTGAATAAATATTCTGATTTTGGAAATGACTTAGCAAGTATTAATATTTTATATCCGAAATGTTGTGACTGATGTTTCAGAGGAAATATTTAACCTATTCATTAAAGCAGCGATAATTGGCCGGACATAATTGCGTCTATCAAAATTTTGAACATAAATACGGTTAAAGTAGTTAGATTGAGAGCTAAAAGCAACTTTAATAAGTCACAGTTTCACGAAGAGCAGTTTCAGGTTGTTCAATGGAGAGAACATCGTCTGATGAATTCTTTCTGATTATGAATATCAGGAAATAAAGAGTTTTGACTGTGTTCTAACTTGCTGTCAATCACTTATAACAGTAGAAAGACGGATGTGTGTTTCAGTAGCTAGAAAGCGTTTTCAGGAACAAGGAAGTTAGTTATATATCATGTGACATCCTTGTACGTAAGAGGTCAAAATAACGCACATAATTAATTCTTTCTCTTATGTCAGCTTACTTACGGAGGGTAAGTAAATGTATTACATGGGATACACAAAACTGGGAAATGTTCAAAGATGAAATCAAATGTTCTCAATACTGGAAGATATGTCGTATCGTGATAGGGGAACAGAAAGACGAGAATACAAATACTCTAGCATTCTTAAAAAAACGTTCGCAAAGAAGGAAATATTCTAGACTAGGCTGGATCTTGTTTCAGCAGTCATGGCTGATGGACAGTTTAATGCTCGATCTAGAGTATTGCGTCCTTTACCAGCAAATGAAAAGATATGCTTCCTCCACAGATAGTTCGCATATTTATAGTATAAAGCAATTGTAATCAACTGATCAACCAGTACCTTAAAAATAATAGGATTAAGGAAATTGACTGGTAAGTACAATCTTCAGACCTTCTGCCGACTGACCATTTCCGAGGACACGTAGCAAAAGCAGTAACTGCACTGACATTAATTTAACTACCCGTAATGGAAGTCGGTGGACATGAATATTGTTCTTTAATAAAATAACTGATAATTTAATTGATAACAGGAAAAAGAGACTCTCAAAGTAATACTTTCCAAATAATTTTTTAAAAAATGTTTGTTCCCATTTCAAAATTCCTTGGTATTTTTGAAAACGTAATTTTATAATTCTTTCAGAACTATGATGAGTATAAGTATTTCCCTCAAAAATATATTATTGATATATTAACATATGTGGTTAACTTCATTTTATATCACGTTTGTTTTAACACATATGATTTCATAGTTCCGCACCTTTTAGTAGTACCATGTATAAAATTATGCAAAAACAAAATCTTCAATCGCGAATTACGTAAATAAATGCTTATAAATTTTTATCTGCCTTACAGCAGCCAATAGTCTAATAGATCTAGAATTTGGAGCAAGTATAGATGCCTCTTTTGATGTCTCTGCGAGAGCTTCAGTTTCGATAGATGTACAAGCATCAGCAGAGCTTGATGTTTCAGCCAAGGCATCTGCCAATGTTGACGTCTCAGCATCCGCTGAAGTGTCTGCATCTGCATCAGCTAGTGTTGAAGTTTCTGCCTCTGCATCAGCTAGCGTTGAGCTCTGCCTCACTGTTGATGTTTCTGCATCTGCATCGGCTAGTGTTGATGCTTCTGCCTCACAGCTAGTGCTGATTTTTCTGCATCAGCTAGTGTTGACGTTTCTGCTTCTGCCTCAGCTAGTGTTGATATTTCTGCAAGTGCTGAAGTATCTGCATCAGCTAGTGTTGATGTTTCTGCTTCTGCATCAGCTAGCGTTGATGTATCTGCATCAGCCAGTGTGGATGTTTCTGCCTCTGCATCAGCCAGTGTTGATGTTTCTGCTTCTGCATCAGCTAGCGTTGACGTTTCTGCTTCTGCCTCAGCTACCGTTGATGTTTCTGCATCTGCATCAGCTAGTGTTGAACTTTCTGCAAGTGCTGAAGTATCTGCATCAGCTAGTGTTGACGTTTCTGCTTCTGCCGCAGTTAGTGTTGATGTCTCTGCATCTGCATCAGCTAGTGTTGATGTTTCTGCTTCTGCATCAGCCAGTGTTGATCTTTCTGCTTCTGCTTCAGCTAGCGTTGACGTTTCTGCTTCGGCTTTGACATCTCAGCCTCTGAGCAGCTAGTGCTGATATATCTGCTTCGGCTAGCCTTGACATCTCAGCCTCGGCTTCAGCTAGTGCTGACATCTCCGCTTCGGCTAGCCTTGACATCTCAGCCTCTGCTTCAGCGAGTGCTGAAATCTCAGCATCAGCTAGTGCGGACATCACTGCGTCTGCTTCAGTCAGCGCCTCTGCGTCAGCTAGTGTTGACATCTCAGCCTCGGCTTCAGCTAGTGCTGATATATCTGCTTCGGCTAGCCTTGACATCTCAGCCTCTGCGTCAGCTAGTGTTGACATCTCAGCCTCGGCTTCAGCTAGTGCTGATATATCTGCATCGGCTAGCCTTGACATCTCAGCCTCTGTTTCAGCTAGTGCTGACATCTCAGCATCAGCTAGTGCGGACATCTCTGCGTCTGCTTCAGTCAGCGCCTCTGCGTCAGCTAGTGTTGACATCTCAGCCTCAGCTTCAGCTAGTGCTGATATCTCTGCATCGGCTAGCCTGGACATCTCAGCCTCTGCTTCAGCGAGTGCTGACATTTCAGCATCAGCTAGTGCGGACATCTCTGCGTCTGCTTCAATCAGCGCCTCTGCGTCAGCTAGTGTTGACATCTCAGCCTCAGCTTCAGCTAGTGCTGATATCTCTGCATCGGCTAGCCTGGACATCTCAGCCTCTGCTTCAGCGAGTGCTGACATCTCAGCATCAGCTAGTGCGGACATCTCTGCATCTGCTTCAGTCAGCGCCTCTGCGTCTGCTAGTGCTGACATCTCAGCCTCAGCTTCAGCTAGTGCTGATATCTCTGCATCAGCTAGTGTGGACATATCTGCATCTGCTTCAGTCAGTGCCTCTGCGTCATCCAGTGCTGACATCTCAGCATCGGCGTCAGCTAGCGCTGATATCTCTGCATCGGCTAGCGTTGACATCTCAGCCTCGGCTTCAGCTAGTGCTGACATCTCCGCTTCGGCTAGCCTTGACATCTCAGCCTCTGCTTCAGCGAGTGCTCACATCTCAGCATCAGCTAGTGCGGACATCTCTGCATCTGCTTCAGTCAGCGCCTCTGCGTCAGCTGGTGTTGACATCTCAGCCTCAGCTTCAGCTAGTGCTGATATCTCTGCATCGGCTAGCCTGGACATCTCAGCCTCTGCTTCAGCGAGTGCTGACATCTCAGCATCAGCTAGTGCGGACATCTCTGCATCTGCTTCAGTCAGCGCCTCTGCGTCAGCTAGTGTTGACATCTCAGCCTCAGCTTCAGCTAGTGCTGATATCTCTGCATCGGCTAGCCTGGACATCTCTGCATCTGCTTCAGCGAGTGCTGACATCTCAGCATCAGCGAGTGCAGACATCTCTGCATCTGCTTCAGTCAGCGCCTCTGCGTCGCTAGTGTTGACATCTCAGCCTCAGCTTCAGCTAGTGCTGATATCTCTGCATCGCTTCATTCTGCCTCTGCGTCAGCATGCTGACATCTCAGCATCGGCGTCAGCTAGCGCTGATATCTCTGCATCGCTCTAGCGTTGACATCTCAGCCCTCGCTTCAGCTAGTGCTGACATCTCCGCTTCGGCTAGCTTGACATCTCTCTCAGCCTCTGCTTCAGCGAGTGCTGACATCTCAGCATCAGCGAGTGCAGACATCTCTGCATCTGCTTCAGTCAGCGCCTCTGCGTCTGCTAGTGCTGACATATCAGCCTCAGCTTCAGCTAGTGCGGATATCTCTGCATCAGCTAGTGTGGACATCTCTGCATCTGCTTCAGTTAGTGCCTCTGCGTCAGCCAGTGCTGACATCTCAGCGTCGGCGTCAGCTAGCGCTGATATCTCTGCATCGACTAGCGTTGACATCTCAGCCTCGGCTTCAGCTAGTGCTGACATCTCCGCTTCGGCTAGTCTTGACATCTCAGCCTCTGCTTCAGCGAGTGCTGACTTCTCAGCATCAGCGAGTGCAGACATCTCTGCATCTGCTTCAGTCAGCGCCTCTGCGTCTGCTAGTGCTGACATCTCAGCTTCAGCTAGTGCAGACATCTCAGGTTCAGCTAGTGCAGATATCTCTGCGTCTGCTTCAGTCAGTGCCTCTGCGTCAGCCAGTGCTGACATCTCAGCATCGGCTACTCTTGACATCTCAGCCTCTCCTTCAGCGAGTGCTGACATCTCAGCATCAGCTAGTGCGGACATCTCTGCATCTGCTTCAGTCAGCGCCTCTGCGTCAGCTAGTGTTGACATCTCAGCCTCAGCTTCAGCTAGTGCTGATATCTCTGCATCGGCTAGCCTGGACATCTCAGCCTCTGCTTCAGCGAGTGCTGACATCTCAGCATCAGCTAGTGCGGACATCTCTGCATCTGCTTCAGTCAGTGCCTCTGCGTCAGCTAGTGCTGACATCTCAGCCTCGGCTTCAGCTAGTGCTGATATCTCTGCATCGGCTAGCTTTGACTTCTCAGTCTCGGCGTCCGCTAGCGCGGACATCTCTGCGTCTACTTCAGTTAGCGACTCCGTATCAGCTAGTGCAGATATTTCTGCATCGATTTCAGCCAGTGCTGACATCTCTGCGTCTGCTTCTCTTAGCGCCTCTGCCTCAGCTAGTGCAGACATCTCTGCATCGGCTAGCTTTGACATATCAGCCTCCGCCTCAGCTAGTGCTGATATATCTGCATCGGCTAGTGCTGACATCTCAACTTCAGCTAGTGTTGAGATCTCTGCATCGCTCAGTGCTGACATATCTGCGTCTGCTTCAATCAGCGCCTCCGCTTCAGCTAGTGCTGATATATCTGCATCGGCCAGTGCTGACATCTCTGCTTCAGCTAGTACTGACATATCTGCGTCTGCCTCAATTAGCGCCTCTGCTTCAGCTACTACTGATATCTCAGCATCGGCCAGTGCTGACATATCTGCTTCGGCGAGTGCTGATATCTCTGCATCAGCCAGTGCTGACATCTCTGCGTCTGCTTCACTTAGCGCTTCCGCTTCTGCTAGTGCTGATTTCTCTGCATCGGCTAGCGCGGACATCTCAGCCTCTGTATCAGCCAGTACTGACCTCTCTGCTTCTGTTAGTTTCTCAGCCTCAGCTAGTGCAGACATCTCTGCATCGACCAGCGCTGATGTCTCAGCCTCTGCGTCCACTAGTGCTGATATCTCTGCTTCCGTCAGTGCTGATTTCTCAGCGTCTGCGTCAGCTAGCTTTGATGTTTCTGCTTCGGCAAGCGCAGACATCTCTGCATCGGTTTCAACTAGTGCCTCTCTCTCTGGTAGTGCAGACATGTCTGCGTCAACTAGCGCTGACATCTCAGAGTCTGAATCCGCTAGTACTGATTTCTCGGTTAGCGCTGACATCTCTGCTTCTGCTTCAGCAAGTGCTGATATATCTGCTTCTACCAGTGCTGATTTCTCAACGTCTGCATCAGCTAGTGCTGATTTCTCTGCTTCGGCTAGCGCTGACGTATCAGTCTCAGAATCCGCCAGCGCAGATTTCTCTGCCTCAGCGAGTGCTGACTTTTCAGCGTCTGCTTCAACTAGTGCAGACATCTCTGCTTCCGCCAGTGCTGATTTCTCAGCGTCCGCTTCGGCTAGCGCTGACGTGTCAGCCTCAGAATCCGCTAGCACAGATTTCTCTGAATCCGTGAGCGCTGAATTCTCAGCCTCTGCTTCTGCTAGTGCAGATTTCTCTGCTTCCGCCAGTGCTGATTTCTCAGCGTCAGCCTCAGAATCCACTAGTACTGATTTCTCTGCATCGGTTAGCGCTGACGTCTCTTCTTCAGGAAGTGCTTATATATCTGCTTCTACCAGTACTGATTTCTCAACGTCTGCGTCAGCTAGTGCTGATTTCTCTGAATCGGTTAGTGCTGACACCTCTACTTCCGCCAGCGGCGTTTTCTCAGCTTCTACGTCAGCTAGTATTGATGTTTCTTCTTCGACGAGCACTGACATCTCAGCTTCTACTAGTGTCTCATTGTCCGCTAGCACAGATTTCTCTGAATCGGTTAGCGAAGACGTGTCCACCTCTGTATCAGCTAGTGCTGATTTCTCCGAATCGGCCAGCGCTGACATCTCAGAGTCTGCATCATTAAGTTCTGATATCTCTGAGTCTATTTCTGAAAGCTTTGAAGTATCTGTATCTGCATCTGAAGGAATTTCTGAATCCTATGAGTTTTCTGCCACTATATCTGCTGAAGCTGAATTGCACGATTTATTCAATTTTGACGGTGATAGCGTGAGAGACGAAGAGGTTTTTGAAGATGGAATTAGTGAAGGGGATTTTTTCGAGTCGGTAAGTGCGAGTTTCCTTTCATTCCTAAAAGAATTTTAAATTGGATTTTAAAATTTCAGTTTTAATATTTATTTCCTATACCTTTATCTACATTTATATTTTAAGGATATCTATCTTTTGTACACGTAATATTTTCGAGATTCTTCAATGCTTTTCCGAAGCGTCTGAATTTTTTTACATACATTGTGTACACGGTTTGGCAATGCTGTGTAAGTTCAAATTCTCTTTCGTTCTTGTTATATATTTAAGACAAAATGTGATAGAAAAGTAATTATGAATTGAACCTTTCTTTGATTTATACCTCGCATTTCAATAGTATAACCGCAGTCTATGCGTATTCGAATGCCGTGTAATCTAAACCCAAGTTGTTCGTTAAAAATGGAGAAAAAGATGCTTGTTGAAAGCTTTAGATTTTATATAACTTCTGAGATTACCGTTGAGTGAAGTTTTCTTTTTGTGATGCTTGAGAATCACACGCTTTTATATTTCTGCTTGAATGAATTTAAGTCTCAAGTGATGAAGTTAAATGAGAATGAAATTCCCATCGCTTTAAAAATATATGCATTTTTAAATTCTCTGATATTATAAATCAGCCAACGTCATATTATCAGGTTCAATGTTCCGCCTTACTTTCTTTGGGAACATGCAAAGACCCTGACTCGGAACAGGGAGCTTACTAAAGCTATGTTCAATAAATGTGGGAAGTAGACAAGATACACAGGAAGGGTATACAAAACCCTTTATTTTTCACTCTTTACAATAATTTCCGTACTTCGGAATACAGAGACCAACTACTTGTGGTCTGAACGTAAGAATATAAAAATATTTAACTAAACTCTAACTTAAATTTGGAATAATAAACAAGGGCCTACGTGGAAGATTGGCCGTATATTAACAGGAAGCCGTATGTAGTACAGAGAACTGTTAACACTACAATACGTTTAAAATTATCAAGAGGATTAAACCTCTGGCCTGGAAGGCAACCAGCAACCGAGTAAAACTGCTAAGGCAAGCGGCCTGCTTCGACTAACTCCTTCCTCTCTCTCGCTTGGCAAAAAGCCACAACTTAAGTACTTGGCGTTCGCCAGACAAATTTGCATAAATAAGTTAAAGCTTTTAATTCTGGCCGGAAGTAGAAAATAAGAAGTGATAGTAAAGATTTAAAATAAAATAAACGTTAGTAAAACTTAAGATCCTTACATACTTCCCGCCAGAGTTAATTAGTTTGAAACTGAGGTCTAAAACGACCTTGTTGAAAACTTTTAGCTCTAGAATCTAACGCGAGGCCAATCTTTTTTCAAACATTTCTCACTAGAAACTAGAAATTAAAAAAAAAAATCGTTTTTTACAATATCAGCTCCATGGACAACCAATTTTTTTCATCTGTACTGCATCTAAACAGGAGCTTTTTTCAAATCTGGTTCCTTCCAGAGATCTGGAAGGAAAACTAGTTTAATGAAATGTTACACAATAAAATGGCAAGTAACATGCATATTTATATTTCTCTTAACATTCTTATTTCATTCATGACTTTATTTTAATTATCTCTTCCCGTGCTCTCTGACATGTGTTGTAAAAGGAAACACCAACCACGAATGTGTTTATGTATACGTGTTCAACACTGCCGCCTACAATCAAAACACTAACGTGTTTAACGTGTTAAAATTCAACATAACAAGACCTCGTAACACACCCTATCTTCAACTCTAAACCCTGAGGTACTATTCTGAAAGTGGCTAACTCTGAAGTGTAGCGTCAGAGAGCCTAACTACATTCATTCATTCAACCTTTAACACATATTCACCATAATTTGGTCTTTTTACAGTCACACACGAATAAGTTTAAAATTTTTGGCATTACTTTCACTTTTAACATATCACAAATTTTCTTAACATTTAAAATAACAGTTCACATTGTATATAAGAACATATTAACATGCCGTTAATTTTACGCATTTTAAAACATACATTAGTAGTACATTGTTAACTTCTATTCTTTTCCAAGCAAGTGCCAATTCTTCTACATTGAAATACTACATTTCAAAAGTCTTTCAGACTAAAACTTCTTTCTTGCCAGAATCTTTTAAATAAAATTTATACAATAACTTTTACAATATTCAAGTATTTACACATTCCTATTATACATCAACTTTAGTTTTACTCGCGAGTAATTGAAAAACATAATACCAAAATAGGTAACAACTCATTTCTCGCCTTTTTGGCGATAAAGGTAGACCTCACATGAGGTAAAACTTCTTGAAATCTGCCACTTGCAGTAAGAATGAAAGATTAACTTAAGTTTGCAAAGTAACATAAAATTTTACTTATCTTTGTGATATTCGGACATTCCTTTTCTCAACCCAGTCCTGGAAGGTAGCGAAGATTAGTTTGATTTATCCTCCTTCTTGTGCGGGCTCGCCCTTCAGTCCCTTCCTCTAGAAGCTTTCTTTTTCCTCCAGTTCGGTCACCCTTGAATACCTTCTTTTTCGCCTCTGCCTGTGGTCTTGGCCGTTTGATGGCAGCTGGTCTTGGCGGAAACCGGGACAACTTCTCTCTCGTTCCTGCTTGGACCTCGTTGCTGGCCGTTCAAATTTTCCTTGTATCTTTTCCTCCGCCGCTGGTGGCCCTTTCCGCAGTTCGGCGACATTTGCTGCGGAGAGTCCTGTCCGATGAGTAGATCTTCCGTTTGGGAGCCGGGTTATAGTTGCCGTTTTTTTCTCCTGGCTCTCTTTGCATTCGTCGTACTTCTCCCTTCTTCATTCTGGGGGTGGGTCGTGAGCTCTCTTTTCTGGACGGTGGAACGGCTTCTTTTTTCTTGTTACCTTCAATTTTCCAGCGGGGAAACTTTCTTTTCAATTGCTCCTGCCTCCTAATGGCTTGCCCTTGTGCTTGTCGTTGTTCCACCTCTGGAGCTTGTGCCTGCCGTGCCGGATCCTGCAAAAGATCTGTAAATATTTGCATTTTATTACGATCATAATATGGTTTTATTTGGTCAATGTTTGCGGAGCAGGTTTTCACCATTCCTGGCTTTTAACACCACTACAGCGTGAGTTATTTTTTCTATGACATATGGTCCTTCAAATCGTGGAAAAAATTTGGCAGGTTTTATCTTCTGGTGCTGAAGAAAGTGAATGCTTAATTTTTAACACTTCATCTCCCTACTTTATAAGTTACTCCCCGTCGTTTCAAGTCATAATAAAGTTTTTTTGTTTTCTCTGTGCTACTTCAGTATTCTTTTTTGCTTCTTTAATTAATTTTTCTATATCACCCATTTTAAATTCTGGGGCTCTTTGTTGCACATAAAATAATTTATCTAACGGCGTTATAATCTTTCTTCTGCCTAAAAATAACTCAGCAGGAGTTTTGCCCGTTGTATCATGTTTTGCGGTCCTAAGGGCGAAAGCAATTCATTGACATAGTTATCCCAGCTTTTATGAAAATTTTTAACATAACTACGGATAATTTTCACTATATTTCTATTGACCCGTTTCCGCTATATTTGATTGCGGCCGATACGGGACCATTTTTAAATGACGTATGCCCAGTTTTTGGCACATGTCTTCAAATATATTACTTACAAATTGAGGACCATTATCCGATATAACTTTTAGGGGCGCCCCGTATTTTAAAATATATTTATTTAAAATAGAATCAGTAACTAATTTCGCGGAGGCTCGTTTTAAGGGAACAATTTCGGTCCAAATTTTCTAGAGTCCATTTACACTAGGTGGCGCTAAAATGATCAAAAATAACAAGGAGATAGCGACTTTTATTTAACTGACTTTTTGGGAAAGGGCCCAATAAATCGATGCCAATTATTTCATTTGGGAATTCGGATTTAATACTATTTAGAAACCCGGGCCGGAACGGAAATTAATATAATTAACTGCTTGACATGTTGGGCAGGACTGGACATACGCCCTTGTTAACTTTTGCAGTTCAGGAAAATAGACAGCCTCGCGTACGCGTTGGATAGTTTTTCGAATACCAGCATGAGAAGCTAAAGGGCTGTCATGGAACTCCTGCAGGATATTTAATCTAAGACTAGCTGGGATAACAGGTCGAAATTCGTTGTTGGAATTCGTAGTTTTTGTATAAAATAATAGACCATCTATTAGTTCGTAATGGGCCGCCCTATTTCTTCTTATCGCCACAATATCTTGGTGGCTAAAATTTTCAGGATCCTTTAAATAATCATAAATGCTTTTCCAAATTCAGGATCCTTACCCAGTTCGGTTATTACAGTTTCTCGGGAATTTAATTGTACATGCTGTGAGCATTGCCACCTTTACAGTATTACCTTCTTCATCTATTTTTATTCTGGATAAGGGCATCTGCTACGATATTTTCCTTTCCGGGGGTATGCTTGATTACCAGATTATATTCTTGTAGCTTGAGTGCCCATCTTATTAACCTTGGGGATAAGTTTTTCCCTGAGTACAATCTAGTTACCGCCGCATGATCAGAATACACTGTTATTGGCGCCCTTTCCAAAATAGACTCGGAACTTTTGCACTGCTAACAGAACTGCAAGTGCCTCTCTCTCGGTCGCGGAATAATTTCTTTGTGTTTGATTTAAAGTTCGACTAAAAAATGCCACGGGCTGCTGATTTTGCGAAAGTACCGCTCCTACCGCATAATCCGAAGCATCCGCTGAAATTTCTAAATTCTCATCCTTTTCAGGAAATTTCAACAACAGGGGCTTGCGTTAATGCTTGCTTTAATTTTTCGAAAGCACTATTGGCTTCGGCCGTCCACGAGAATCTTGCCTTTTTCCTTTTTAATTTTAACAATGGTTCAGCAATAGCTGCAAAATCTTTTTATAAGGACCTATAATATGAACAAAGTCCTAGAAAAGAAAGAGAGCTTCTTCGCCGTATTTGGCGGTCGGATACTTTTGCACAGCGATTATTTTTTGATTCCTCTGTCTCGATTCCTTTCTGAGATATTTTGTAACCTAAGTATTTTAATTCAGGGGCTGCAAATTTGCACTTTTCGACA